AAGAATGCAACTGCAAGAATATTGCTGAAAGAAAACTAAACTTTAGTAAAGAAATGAAATGAAACGAAAGAAAGAAATATCTTTTTTTTTGTTTTTTTTTCTCTTTTATTCACGTGAAACAACTTTTTAGAAGTTTCACGTGAATTTTTTGACTTTACCGCCCATATAAAACAAAAAATTTGCTTGCAATAATTGATTTTTTATAAATCATTATTATTTTATTTATTTTTTCACCAAACAAAAAATTTGTTGTTATCTAAAGAATATTTAAAAAAATAATTAATAGTAATTAATGCATTTAGTCTAATTACTAATTTATAATATATATATATATATATATATATATATATTCAACGAAGGGGATAGTGATAATGTCATACCACCCAAATTCAATATCTTACACTTGCTTGATAACAGCTCTTCGAAGTATTGGTGGACATTATTTTCAATGAAATTATACTTTCGGGTTGTAGCCGGGAAGTAAACTATCAATACATTGCTCAAAAGTTGCTTAGAAAAGGCTCTTACAACTTGCAAATAAAATCTGGAGATTATTAGATAATTCGGGTTTGGTAAGCAATCGTAAAACATTAATACTTATTGACTATTATGTTCACACGAATAAGGTAAAAGATATTTGGTTAGTTATTTCTCAGATGAATAAGAAAGATTACCAGCTAGATTCTTTTGTGTATAATAAGATTATTAAAATTTATAAAGACAATGAGATATGGAAGAAAGCAATGTCTACGGAGTGTGCGAAGTAACTCCGCACTTTGCTCACACGAACTGCTGAGCAAATTTTTTTTTTTTTTAGCATCCACAATAAAATTAGCAAAACTAAATATTCGGTATTCCAACAAAAATGAATTCACCAAATTAACATCAAACATCACACTATTCCAACAAAAATGAATTAACGTCAATTTACCCAACTAACATCAGGCAAGACAATATTTTCTAGGAAAATAATTAGCTATGTCGAAGTTGTGCTTTTGTTGGGATTTTGACTTTCTTTTGCAAATCCATTTCTATCTAACTTCTAATAAAAAGGGGAAGGAGGGTCTACTATTCATGCAATAGTAAATGAATTCAATTTTACTATGCATGATGTCATTTTTTATTTTCCATTTTGTTTATGTCAAACAAATGTTCTTACACACATCATCCCACTAGCATTAAAAAAATAATTATGTCAAACAAATATTCTTCCACACATCATGCCATTAGCATTAAAAAATAATAATAATTTTAGTAAATATAAACTGCCATGAGCAAAAAAAAAAAAAAAACTCTTCGCACAGGAGCTTTAAAAAAAATAAAAATAAACTCTCCGCATAGTGCGAAGAGATGGCAAACCATGTGCGGAGTAAAAAAGGAAGAAAAATCTCTCTGCATAGTGCGGAGAGATAGCAAACCATGTGCGGAAGTTGGCAAACTCTCCATACAATGCCAAGTAAAAAAAATCTCTCCACAAACACCATGGCAAAACTCTTTGCACAGTGCGGGGAAATGGCATTCTGTGCGGACATTGTCCTCACAAAGTGCGGACTCTCCGTACAGTGCAGAATAAAAAAGCAAAAAAAAATTGCGCACAATGCGGAGCGTTGGCAAACTCTCCATACAGTGCGAAATTAAAAAAAAAAATCTCTGCATAGTGATTGTCACGTGCGTTGTACGAATTTTACATTTATCGTATTTTTATTAGTGTACGAATTTAAGTTTTTTGGAAAGTTTTTGGAGCAATATCTAGAAATATTTTCATGATATAAGAAAATAATTGTAAATTATTTGTACAATTGCATAACAGTATTGTGTCATCTAGAAAAAATATACTTGTATATTTTATACTTGAATAAGAAATATACGAGATTATACAAATTATTTTGCTTGTATTCTTTAATAGTATTGATATGACTGAGTTGAATGTGAATATTATATTTCTAAATTTTGTGTAATTCAATATTAAAAGATTGAAGATTGAGCAACATATTCATATGTATTTATATTTTGTGCTTCATATATATTTAATATTTATTTTATGCTTATATTGAAAAAAGAAAAATCTAAATTTTTTTTTGAAATTTGGTTTGTTAAGTGAATGTACGGTGTTCTGCATTCGCGATATTTGTAAGTGCAAAAATCGGTATATAAAAATACAGTAAGCTGTAAATACGGTAGACAGCATATAAGGTAAGTTGCAAATATGGTAGGCAGAATATACAGTAAGCTGCAAATACGATAAGGTAAAAATATGGTAAGTTGTTTGCAAATACGGTAGGCAACATATACGGTAAGGTGCAAATACGGTAAGTAGTTTACAAATACGGTAGGCTGCAAATACAGTAGGCAGCATATACGGTAAACTGTATATACGGTAAGCTACATATATGGATTTATAATTTATTATAAATGTATAAAATTTATTTAATATTGAATTTTTTAAGTATTTAATGTGGTAATTCAATATTGTTTCATTTTTTATAATTGTATTTTCGAGAATTAAAAAAAAAAAGTGGTTATGAAATTACTAATTTTTAAATGTGTTTTTTTGTTGAAGATAAAAATGATTTTTTTTATGTTATTTGTAAAAAAAAATTTATTGTAATTTTATTAGCGTAATAAGAAGATTTATTATGCATTTTTATTTTTTACATTTTGTAAAGAATTTTGTTTATGGTGATTGACAAATATTCTTTCACACGTACATCATGTCAACAACATTAAAAAAATAATAATAATTTTAGTATATATAAATTCCATGAGATATAAAAAAAAAAAACCTCCGCATATGAGCCAAAAAAAAAAAAAAGACTCCACAAAATGCGGAGAGATGACAAACTATCTCTCCGCACAGTGTGAAGAGAAAATAAAGACTCTCGAGACTCTATTTGCAAGTTCCAAGAGGCATTTTCTCAAACAATTTTTGAGCAATGCATTGAACACTTTAATTTTTGGAATATAATTTCATTGAAAATTGTATCCGCTCGTAATGTCCAAGAGCTATTATCAAGCAAGTGTAAAATATTGAATTTGATTGGTACCCTAGAGCCTCCATTTGTGAAAGCAATGTCATAGTACAATCAATATCTCATTCTTTGCACAACTCACATATTGTTTCATTGTATGAATCATGAGAAAGCTCCTTTTCAATATCATAAATATGATTTGCATGCTCAGAAATTGAGCTGTGACTGGAATTTAAAGAAGACATAATTGATTTTGAGCCATATTTTTCGACTCTGTTTCGTTATATATACAAAAAATTTACAATCTTGAAATTTGACGTGTAATTTAGGAATTTGAAAACAACTCTCCGGACTGTGCGGAGAGTTTTTTCTCTTTGTACTGTGCGGAGAGTTGGTTTGTCATCTCTCTGCACTGTGTGGAGAGTTTTTTTTACTTCGCACTGTGCAAAGAGTCAACTCTTCACATATGGTTCAACTCTCTCCGTATTGTGCATAGAGATTTTTTTCTCTCTGCATTTTTTTTACTCGACACATGGTTCAACTCTCTACACACTGTGCATATAGTTTTTTCTCTCCGCACCATACGGAGAGTTTTGCCATGGTGCCAATCAACTCTCTGCGCTATGCGAAGAGATTAACCTTCTCCGCACAGTGTGGAGAGTTTTTTTTTTTTACTCTTCGTACTGTGCGGAGAGATTTTTTTTACTCCGTATTGTGCGAAGAATTTGCCAACTCTTAGCAGATGGTTCAACTCTCTTCGCATTGTGCGGAGAGATTTTTTTCTCTCCACACCTTTTTTTATTTTTTATTATTACTGCGCACTTGGTTCAACTCTCTCCGCACTGTGCAGAGAGTTTTTTTTTCAGTTTACAATATTGAATTACATAAAATTTAAAAATATAATCATTACATTCAATTCAATCATATCAATACTATCAAAGAATGCAAGCAAAATAATTTGTATATTTTTTATTCAAGCATGAAATATATAAGTATATTTTTTCTAAATAACATACTGCTATACAATTGTAAAAATAATTTACAATTATTTTCTTATATCATGAAAATATTTTTAGATATTGCTTCAAAAACTTTCCAAAAAAAAACTAAAATGCATAAATTAATAAAAATACGATAAATACAAAATTCGTGCGACGCACGTCATAGCGACCAGTGTTTATAATGTTACCTAAAAAGGAGAATGAATTGGCCATGCCTTGATTCCCAAGGTTTGGGTATTTCCTAATGTAAGCTCATCAGAACTAAACTAGTTGATTCTCTTTTACATATTTTATGCAGGGATACCAAGTCTTCGTGTATTGGCTACCCGATCAATTTTACACGCCAAATTGGGTCATTTAGCTCGAATGTAAAGCTGAGAAGCCATGATTAGCTTTTGGATCATTATATAATTCAATGTGTGACGCATTATGGGTCCAAATAGGACTGTTCTACTAGTTCACTTGAAGAGAATAAGTGAATAACAAAAACTGGTGTTTAGTACTATGACTACACGAGCGTGGATATGTTCGGGAGTTGCAAAATCATTTTTTACTAGTGAAATCAAGAGAAGCGCCATAAGTGAGAAGAAAGCGTCTTCAATTATTTATTTAGAACTAGCAATTATAAATTAATTTATATGATTTATTATGGCTCTAATTTATTGGGCTTAAAATTAAAATTTTAGTTAATTTAGATAAAAGTTAATAAAATATACATTAAAAAATTGTAAATTCCACGATTAATTTTGATTGAAATTAAAATTAAGTTTTTAATCCCGAAAAACAGTGGGGGCGATATATTTAATTATTATTTATTCATATGTACAAAATTTATTTTCTATTGATTTTTTAAAACGATTATCAATGTATCAAGCCTTATGTTTTGGGCTTCATTTTAAAGTTAACTTTGAAGAAAATGTATTTTTGAAGAATTTGTGGTTAAAAATAAGAAAAATGTTGATTAACATATAATATTATTTTATTATTTATTAAAAAATATGTAATTGAAATGGGAAGGAACAAATTGCAATTTGCAACTGGGCACGCCTCTCTATGCAATGCCATCGTCATCGAGCCCATCATTTTTAAAGCTCAAAGCCTCAAACATGCGAACCCATTAACCGGTCGAGAAGTTAGAAAGAAGTTCCCCAACAAGAACTGACTCGGGTGTTGAAAATTGAGGTACTTTGGTTTGAGTATGATCACTATCAGCATGTTTCTTGAAAATTGTTTATTTTTATTATTTATCTTTGTTGTCAGTTTAACTTTAATGTTAATTAATATTAAACTTGTTGGTGTTTTTAGAATATATGCTGATTATCATCTCGTTTTCCTTCTTTCAGATCATCTTATTCGTTGACCCATCGAGTAGTTTCTTGGTTTGTTGCAGGCTTCCATGGCTTCAAAAGCAGATAGTTCAATTAAACCTAGAGGTGCTAAATTTTTTCACACAGTTAGCATCTGGGCTAGAGAAATAAACTATATATTCATGTTCAATGGACCCTTAAATTTGTGTTCAAGTTTCAATAGTCATATGTTCTTTTCTAGCTATGGAAGATTTTAATCAGTTTTTTTTCATTATTATACATTACAAAGGTTCAATTTTGGGGATTGAGCTAATCCATTTATGAATTCCACTCAGATGTTTGCATTGTTGGTGTTGCAAGAACGCCAATGGGTGGCTTCCTTGGTTCCCTTTCATCTTTGCCCGCTACAAAACTTGGTTCTATAGCTATTGAATGTAAGAATTAATATATTTCTGTATGCCTGCTAGATTTGACCAAAGCATATTGTGTCCTGTTTGAATTTCTGCTCTTTAAAGGTGCTCTTAGGAGAGCAAACGTGGATCCATCTTTGGTGCAAGAAGTCTTCTTTGGAAATGTTCTTAGTGCAAATTTAGGCCAAGCCCCTGCCAAACAGGCTGCATTAGGCGCTGGTATACCTAATTCTGTTATATGCACAACCATTAACAAAGTGTGTGCTTCAGGAATGAAAGGTTGGCAGACAGTCCTATAGTAGCTCAGGTTTCTAGTTGAAAAATCTTGTAAATAACGTGTTACTATCTTTGTTTTTCAACTCAGCAACAATGATTGCAGCACAAACAATAGAATCGGGTACAAATGATGTAGTCGTAGCTGGTGGCATGGAAAGCATGTCTAATGCACCAAAGTATCTCCCTCGAGGAAGGTTAGCCTAATGGTTTATAATAACAGATATTGATGCATCTCTATTTATTTTGTCTACTGCAAGAAACGAATTTTTGTACGTTAACTGTCTGAATGGCCTTGATGTATCAACAGATGGTTCATAGTCCCTCAATTATAAAACCTTGATTATTTTCCATTCTTATCGATCTTTTATATGGAAAAGCTCTAACTTCCTGTTCGAGTCTAACATAGTCTACTTTGGTCTTATTCTTGAGGCAAGCATCATGACTACCATGTTGTTAAACGCATTTTAACAGGACGGGATCTCGGCTAGGGCATGATACTATTATTGATGGCATGCTCAAAGATGGTCTATGGGACGTCTATAATGATATTGGAATGGGTGTTTGTGCAGAAATATGTGCTGATCGATATAACATTACCAGAGAAGAACAGGTAGTATCCTGTGGACATTATCTTTAATTTTGTAATTTAAGTCTTCAGATTTCAACTCTATAAATGTTAGGATGTTAAAGGACATAATGTCTTAAGATATACATAACAATAATAAGGATGTTAAGATGGATGTGTAACTAGAATGAATAAGGTAAGAAATAAGAATATATGCCAACAAGTGGAGGTGATGCTGATTGAGGATAAATTAAGCGAAGGATAACCTAGGTGGTTGATGCATTCGATAGATCACAATAAGACTGTTGTTCAAAAGAGTGATGCCATTTTAGTAGAATAGTTAGATCAAGGAGGTTAAACCAAACTAAATGACTTATTGTAGTTTCTAAGAATTTAGTTGTTTTTGGATCTTTTAGTAGATGTAGTTTGGAAGAAAGATTTAAATGATATATATTGGTCCTCTCTAACAACTTAAATTTTTAGATGAAATGACTCAACATAGTATCAGAACATACAAAGTTTCTTGGGTTTATGTCTCTCTATTTCTAATTTAATGATATTGTATATGTTTGAGGGAGAAAATAAATCCTTCCTATACGGGAGATTTGTTGAAAAGATATACTAGTGGCTGTCTCTAAAGTGTAGCAATAAACTGAATAGAGTAGCCAAAAAGGATATTGATCCCAAAATCAATTGGGAATAAAGCATAGATTGTTATTGTTCTTCTTGTTGATATGCTCATATGTGATTGAAATTAGTTGGGAATCATTGCATGGGAAATTTACCAAATGACCAGATGATGATTAACCAAGAAAATATGTTCTTGTATCAGCTTCTCATTCCCCCTCTTTTTTTTAAAGCATATTCCCTATGTTATGGGATGGAGTGTTACTTTTCTTTCTTTGGTTAAGGTGTTACAATAGCCTATTTTTTGTTCTTTTATTTGCTTTTTGGGTATCTATAATCTCACTATCTTCATTTTTTCACTTTGCTTTGTCAATCTTTCTTTTCCAGGATACTTATGCTATTCAAAGTTTTGAGCGTGGAATTGCTGCGAAAACCAGTGGTGCATTCACATGGGAGATAGTTCCGGCAAGGATCCTGACTCATGGACACTCAATGATGTGCTAAGAGTGGATTCCTTTTTTCTTTTTTTTTTTGGTGACAAAGTTTGAATTAAACATACAGGTTGAAGTTTCTAGCGGAAGAGGGAAACCAACTATCATTGTTGACAAGGATGAAGGTTTAGGAAAGGTGAATAAAATGAAATAGTTTGGTATTGTATTTTTAAAGTTCTTTGTTAGATCTGCTGCGCTTTTAAATATGAGAAATTATATTTTATTTAGTTCTTTTTGCCTTGTGCTTGTGTGTGCAAGGGGGATGAAATGACGATGAAAATCGACCAGCAAGTATGAAATATCTTGTTAATTTTTTCAAATTAATTTTTTTACCTTTGAAATTTATTCCAATGGTTCTGATTTTTCTTCTAGTGAGGAAGTTGAAATAAAAATGTTTTTATTTGCTACAATTTCTGATAGTTGATATTCTATGTTATCATATCCATCTCATTAAAAGAAAAAATCATTCTCTTAGATAAATAGATAATTTTGGTTGCAGTGATAAGGGGTATTTTTCTATTTTCCCTCATATTCAATAAAAAGAGATGATCCTGAGGTGTCCTAGCATGAAACAGTTCAAATAATTGTAATATGGACTCTATGTTGTGTCTTGCCAGTTTGATGCATCCAGATTAAAAAAGCTTCGACCAAGTTTCAAGGAGAATGGGGGTTCTGTTACTGCTGGCAATGCATCTAGTATAAGGTTCCCTCCTCTCCCTCCCTCTCTCTCTCACATGCTTGCACGTGTGTCTACGTGTAGTGTGCACATGTGTTTGTTCATCTATGAGTCTGCTAGTCCTTGTGCATTCGTGTGTCTGGGGAAAGCTTTTCTTGTCAAGCATGGATGCAACATGTTGAACCACCTCATCTAAGGGTTATTAGTGCGACAAAAGGTCCTGGGATCAAGTTCTGTTGCCAGGAATTTATGGAAACTGTGTACGCTTTAGGCCTTTGATGAGAAATTGAATCTAGCATGCACGTGAGGGGACATGTTGAAGTCTAAATTTATGACTTGTCCCCTCTCACTGCTTTATCTTTTAGATAAGGTGGTCCAACACAATATTATCATCATTTCTTCTGTTGCTCTGTTTCTTCTGTACGTATTATGTTTTGTTCTGCTAGATAGGGCCAAATGAATATTATTTAAATAATATCTTTAACACACCACCTCGCGTAGGCAGGATTTATTTTTTTCCCATCAAAGCCTAACATGTGAACAATTTATTTAAATGGGGAGCAACGAGACTTGAACTCATTACCTTAAGCTCTCAGAACATGTCGAATCACTTGATCTAAAAGCTTAAGCGGTTAGATAGTGCTAGTATATAATTTGAATGTTATTTTCAACATATTAATTGTCTGTCATCTTACTGTTTGTGGTTCTCTGCAAAGTGATGGGGCTGCTGCACTAGTGCTAGTGAGTGGAGCAATGGCACATAAATTAGGATTAAAAGTGGTTGCCAAAATCAGGGGCTATGCTGATGCAGCTCAGGTATGTGAGGAATGTAAACAGTCTCGATTTTGTTGGGTATGTGTATTAATGCTGCAAATTGATTGCTTGGGCAGGCTCCAGAATGGTTTACAACTGCTCCAGCCCTCTCAATACCGAAAGCAATATCGAATTCTGGATTGGAAGCATCTAATATTGATTACTACGAAATAAACGAAGCCTTCTCGGTAAGGATCTATGCAAAATTTTTTGATGTTTCTGTACCTTGCTTATCCAACAAGACCGATTTCATAAATACAGGTCGTGGCTCTTGCTAATCAAAGGTTGCTCAACATTGACCCCGTGAGTCTATAGCTTCCTCTCTGCACTCTGCAATTAGGCCTAGTTTGACTAATTAAGAGGCTTATTTCAAGATTTAATGTCACTTTTGTCAACTTCCCATTTTCTTGCACATTTTTTATTTTGCCAATGAATATTTAATTACTTTGTTTCATAACATTGTACTTGTTCATGTTGTAGGCAAAACTGAATGCGCACGGCGGTGCTGTGTCTTTAGGACATCCTTTGGGTTGTAGTGGAGCTCGAATATTGGTCACATTGTTAGGGGTATGCTCTCTGCTTGTGCAAAGTTAGTTTGTTGTGGTATTATTACATTACTATTTTCAGGTTTACATCCTGATTTATCAGCCAGATCCATGGATTTCCACACCCCAACCAAAAAATAAAAAAAAAATTATGAAAATAAGAAAGAAAGAAACCTGCTCTCACAAGTTTTGATGGCTTTGCAGGTGCTGAGGCAGAAAAAGGGAAAGTTTGGGGTTGCTGCAGTCTGCAATGGTGGAGGAGGTGCATCTTCTGTTGTTATAGAACTCATGTAAGCTTTTTCTTTCACAAATGATACGGTTTGTCTTATTCAATTAGTTAAGGATTTGTTGCTTTGCTCGACTGCTACAAGTAATCAGCACGTGATTTTGTTGGCGGGGTGGTTGATAAGCAGTAGAGGACAGGATTAGATAGTTCTATGAACATGATTTTAACTTCTTTTTGTTTAACACAGTCTAATCTTGTCCGATACAGCATACTGACATGCATGGAGAGTACTTGTTTTGTGCATTAGCTTGTAGAGAGCAATAAGATATTCTTGCGAAATGAAACCAAAGCTTGAGTAATGATTCTGATTCACAATTTTCGTATCAATAGCATTTTTATCTAAATGCTCAATTAATTTCATGAAGTTCTCGTAAATTATTCAGTTGTTCTGAACATGGAAATTTATTACATATTGCAGGCCAGTATCATGGGTGGCACGTTCTATGCTATGAAATCGAAATAGTTTCTTTTGCAGTGTCTGCCTCCAATTACAGTCATGTATCTCCTAAAAGTCTCTCTTCGAACTTCTTGAATAATGTAACTTATCTGAATAAATATTTGTACTTGACACATGCTTATATAGTCACCATTCCTAACTACTTTCCCTTTTTAAAGATCTTTTCTCTGCTAATCTGATATCGCGTGTGACGACACCCGAATTCTTTGAATTTTATATATATTTTTTTCTTTTTGGTCCTGTGCAAAAGTAGAGTACCCGGGACAATTTTTTGGGATCAGCTCCAACTTATGATTCTTGATGATGCTAAAAGCAACAAGTTAGCTCATTAGACAAAAAGAAAATAACTTGGTGATTTTATATACTGAAATAGACAGACTTAGAGACAAGATTAAGTGAAGCATGTGACAAAATTTGTAATTTTCCAAGTTTAGTTCTGAGTGGTTGTAACTTCTGGCACGGCTAAATTTGATCCTGGAAATTATCAAGTACACAGAGTACAATTCGGAGGTCTTGAACTGTTGCAGACAGCAAGAAGAAATACACGTCTTTACACAATCTTCCATTTAACAGGAATACCGCCAAAATGATCATCAACAACATCCTTGATTGTCTTGAAACTTTGTTCTCCATAACCTAGAGCTTTTTGGTCCGGGAAATTTGCAGCACCAGCAGCCTTTCCTTTCCATTGATTGATGCTGCTTCCAGTTATTTTCTTGAATTCTACAATCTCCGAAGGTTTAGCACAGCGTATCAATGCCCAATTCACTCATTGGAAAAAGGGGTGTCTCTTAATGTCGGTTGCACATCTTTTATAAGAGTACGTTATTTATCATCATCGGTGTTAAGCATCAGTCTATGTAATAAACATTAAATGATAGAATCATTTAAACGCAAAGTCACATGACTCATTTTATTGACTGGTGATGACAGCATTATCCCTTTTATAAGCCAACCTATTATGTGGTTCGTTCACAAGCAAACTCCGAAGCAGCAAAATCGAAGCTGCGCGATTGTGGGAATCGAAGAGGCTGTCCGGCCTGATTATCGGATCCTTTAAATGGAGTTTTACCAAACGAAAGTTGGTATAGAGAGATCCCAAATGTTAAATCGAACTTATTTGAATTCGACTTATTCGGACTTTGCAACTGATACATTTTCAGGTCTATTGACCAAAACTGAAGTAAAACTCGGCTGGATATCTTATCAAAAACTGAAAGCCGTCATAGATGGACCGGGCCGAACTATTTTGACCGAGAATAGTTCATGGTCTCAATTGGGCAAATTAATAATAATAATAATAAAATGGTGCCAACTTCCATACTCTAAAATTTAATTATATATATTAGGCACATGTTTAATGCGTTGTATTAGAATAAATAAAAATAATGGTATGGATAATAATGGTTAAAATTAATGTTTGACTTTTATTGAATTTATAAATTACTTGCTAAATAGAGGCTATATTATGCAAACTGTTAGGATTCGTAGCCGATGCTTGCATTGTGCATGGAAAATAAGTCAATGGTCAAAGAAAGCAGCAAGTTATTAGAAACTAGACACCGGGCACACCACCAACCTACAAATGTTTACAACTGGTTGGTTTTTGGTGATTCTAAGGATTTGCAATTTGCTTTGTCATTGTTTGATTTTGAGAATCACATATTTTCCATATTTATTTTCAACCACGCATTCTCTAGAAAAACAATCATTTTTGCATACAAGTAACTAGTATTTGTTGGGAATTAATAATGCAATTATACGGAAAGTTCAAAAACAATTTGCTCTTTTTAAAGTTGGAACCAACTTGATAATCGAAGAATAAGTTGGGACTAATACTACGAATATTTGGCTCCAAAGCAATTCGCTAAAAGTTCTCGAAAACTACAATGATAAAAAAATAATGGATAAAGCTACTTTACTAGAAGGATTTAATAGAAAGTTTGTCATAATTGTATGTAGCAATAGATAATTGGATGGAAAAGCTAGCTGTATTTTAAACTGCCTAATGATAAAATGCAAAGTGGGCTGTGGCATTAGGTCAACCTTGATGTTTATATATACCCCGTTTGGTATCCATTTTCATAAGAATGAGAATGAAAAATATAGTTGTTACGAGACCCACACAAGAAATAGGAAGTTAAATATAGTGACTTGATGTAATGAATAACGGTTGTACTTTTCATTTTTGTAGCTAAAAAATGGAAATCAAACGAGGGCTAGTATGATTGAAAAACAATAGCGGCCGGGGGTTGTTGGATGATCCGCCCTCTTGCCGTTATCAATGTTCATATAACTGCCGTCCAAATCTGCTTTTCGCGCGCGACCGTCCTATCCCTACAAATTAACACCTCGTTAGATGTGACAAGTTGAAATTTGTAGGGAGATTAAGTGATTTTTGTGGTGGCTAAAATCTTGATACCACAAAATTGGAATGAAGTGTGAGTTGAAAGCGGGCAAAGTATGGCATCCGGCACTTTTCTTCGGATATTTAAAAGCAATCAAATTTGACCAAATAAAATCATTTAATAAAGTAGGAATTTTGCACTATAACAGAAAACGTACGTGCAGTTTGGCTACATTTCTTGATTTCCGCCATATTCCTCAATTCTCTCCTTCTCTGTCTGATTTTCGTATTGTTTAAACAGAAGGAATGTCAAATCAGAATGGAACCACGTCGTCAGATCTGCGAGAGGCATTCTTGGGAGTGTACTCCGTACTGAAATCTGAGCTTTTGAATGATACTGCTTTTGAATGGACTGATGATTCTCGTCAATGGGTAGAACGGGTCTGGTTTTCCCCCTTTCTTCTCTCGTCTGTAATTGTGTTTTGTCAACTTCATACTAAGTTTTCGTATATATAATTCTTTCGTATCCAAAGACACTCTCAAATGGCGATTCCCTGTTCCACCCGTGGCTGGATCATCCAGTTTCTGGTTGACCAGGTTTATCTTGGTTTTCTTGGGTCTTCGAACATGCTGTTTCAGAACATGGGATTCATGACAATCCACCATTACTTATAAAATTAATTTGTAATTAAGGTAAAAATTATCCTTCTTTTACTAGAATATGAAGGCTCCTTCTGCAAAAAATAACATATATATTTCACACATGGGGCTGAACTTGAAGTGGTAGGTTAAAATTAGGGGTGAGCTTAGTTTTTCTGAATTTCGATTAATATTGATTCGTGCAGCGAACACGAGATCAAAAGTCATGATAATATGTACAACTGTAGATCCCTTTATAAATTTGTATGGTGCTATAAAGATTAACTTTGGAGTTGGACTGAAAGGAGCGCCTAAGTAGTTGACCCTAGATTTAGTGTTCATTGTGTATCAATGCTATTATTATTGTACATGCTAATTTATTGTAGTTTCTGATATGATCTTTAATGTATTTGTGGCAGATGTTGGACTACAACGTACGTGGAGGTTAGACATCAGTCATTTACACAAGACATTATTAAGAAAGAAAATGCTATTAAGTATTCGTTATACTGTTTAATCCTATCCAGTTGACTAATGCATATGTCTATATTCTTCACATTATCAGAATATAGTTGGGCATTTCGTGCTAATAATTGCCAGAATGCATTGTTATTTGCAGGAAAGTTAAACCGTGGTCTGTCTGTCATCGATAGCTACAAGTTACTAAAAGAAGGCAAAGAGCTAACCAGAGATGAAGTTTTTCTAGCTAGTGCACTCGGTTGGTGTATTGAATGGGTAGATTGACAGGGATTTCTATGACTTCTTTTTAGTTGCAGAAATGCTTCTGGGTGGCTGTTTTTGGGCAGCAGGATCTAAGCTACATTTTTCCTTAAAATTGCAGCTTCAGGCTTATTTTCTTGTCCACGATGATATTATGGATGGTTCTCATACGAGACGTGGTCAACCATGTTGGTTTCGATTGCCCAAGGTTGGTGCTAATGTGAATTCCCTCAATTTATCCTGATTTGTCGAAGAGTTGTCACCAGAAGTGTATCATCTTGAACGATTTTCGTGTTTTAGGTTGGTCTAATAGCTTTAAATGATGGAATCATACTTCGGAACCACATTGCTAGAATTCTCAAGAAGCACTTCAGAGAAAAGCCTTATTACGTGGATCTAATAGATTTGTTCAATGAGGTATACTGACAATTGAGTACCCTGATTAATCATTTTTCATGTTTAGATATGCTACATTTAAAATTTTCTTTTTTTGTGTTATTAGGTCGAGTTCCAAACTGCTTCAGGACAGATGATTGATTTGATTACAACTCTTGAAGGAGAAAAAGATCTATCAAAATACTCATTGCAACTGTGAGTCGGAAAATTTGTAAAATCTCTTGTTCTTGTGCAGTTCCATAATTCTGCCCCCAAATTTTCTTGTATTTTCTGATAAATTAACTGAATTGCTTGATTTTTTTGCAGTCATCGGCGAATTGTTCAATATAAGACTGCCTACTACTCTTTTTACCTTCCGGTTAGTGACATATCTGTCATTCTACTAATCCAAAGTCGTCATGAAAATGATGTTAATGAATTTTGACAATTTCTAATTCCTTATGTTTATGCAGGTTGCCTGTGCATTGCTTATGGCTGGTGAGAACTTAGACTACCATGTAGACGTGAAGAATGTACTCATTGACATGGGAATTTACTTTCAAGTACAAGTAAGTTGCTAAGCTTGAAATTTACTTTTAAGCGACTTCGTTTATTTTCTTTAATTTACATTTTTCTTACTAACAAGAAGAAATGTCAAAAAAAAGTGTTTGTTTTAAAATTTCATAAAATAATGTTTATATTTTTACTCGAGCTAATAGTTGTCCTCCTTGCTTTGTGGTACAAGAATTTTCAACTTCTGTGAGATTTTTGTTTATTTTAACCATTACTAAGAGCCTATTTAATGTGGATTTTTGAAAATTGATTTTCTGAAAGTGATATTTTTCAAGAATGTGAGGTTAAAAAGTAAGGAAAAGTTATGGATCCACGTGCAAATTATTTTATTGTAAGACTATGTGGTTGAATGAGTTTCGTGAAAGACGAATATTAAAGAATCTCTACCAGATAGGGACTAAATGAAGTGTACAAATGAAGCCAGAGGATTGGGATTCCATTGCTGTCATTTCATTTGTATATGGTTAAATGCATACAATAAACTAATAGTTTAATGACATTCTATCCTTGGTGTAACGTATTTTCTATTTATTTAGGATGATTACTTAGATTGCTTCGGAGATCCTGAAAAGATCGGAAAGGTGAATTCCTTCGCTTTCCATTTCTAACATCAAAATAGTCTTAAAATTTGAACGTCTTGATTGCTATTAGTTCTTACTTCATCATTATGGCTCCTCAGATTGGAACGGATATTGAAGATTTCAAGTGCTCATGGCTCGTTGTAAAAGCCTTGGAACACTGCAATGAAGAACAAAAGAAAATTTTATTCGTAAGAAGCAAATTAATTGAATTCGGCCAGTCTGTTCATAACAGATGAATAACTATATTAACACCTGCATTTTTATCACCAGGAGCATTATGGAAAAGCAGATGCTGCTGATGTAGCGAAAGTCAAAGAACTTTATAATCATATTGATCTTAAAGGCGTGTTTGCAGATTATGAAGACAAGATTTATGAGAGATTAACTAGCTCCATTGAAGCCCATCCGAGTACAGCACTTCAGGCTGTGTTGAAGTCCTTCTTGGGGAAGATATACAAGAGGCAGAAGTAAGAGGTGTTTAGAAGATATCAATGAAGCTAAAGAATCCCAATTCATGTATCGCTTTGTATTTGTATTCTTGTTGCTGGGGAAAAACAGTTGCCTGAATTCTTGTTTGTATTGATTGTTATTATGTTTGTGGTTATCAATTTCATTGGCAAGGATAATGTACCCCACTTCTGGCACCACTTTGAATCTGAGTGATAAGGTGTTTTAGCTTTCTTCTCGATTTAAAGTAGTAGGAAAAGAAGAGATAAGTATCCTCTTTCACTCGTACATGATAATACTATTCAGAAACTTGCTGTTACTCACTAGGCCATGTTCCATTGGGGAGCATTTTCCCAAGAGGAATAAGTATTGGTAAGCTCATCCAGAGACCAAGTTTTCTCTTCTTGTCTGACCTCAAGAGCTTGGGTGAAAATCCTCTGTAGAATCACTGCAAACATGGTAATTCCCACCCTCCATCTCGGCTCTCTCACTCTCTCTTATTCCATACACACTATCTAGCCCATATTGAGCTATTGTTTTCTTCATGCGAGAACGTAGTTGGCCTTGGATTATGGACTACGGCTTGATCTTTAGGGAAGAAGTCAGTGGGACCTCAACTTCTAGGGCAATTAGATAATGAAAGTTATAATAAAAACGTCTCTAAGCAATTGAAACCAATCCTTAAATCTACTTTCGCTAAAATAGATGATTGCTTAAATTTTTCAAAAAGTAATACATTCTTATCGTGCACCACGTGTTCTATACTAAATCATGTCAAGTCAGTTAGGTCACCTCATAAAAGCTTCTTATTGCTGCCATTTCCTTCAATACTAAAGTCATTTCGTCAATCATCATCTCATTTTTCAAAAATTTTACTTAGGAAGTCATTTATGTACATTTGGGAGTTCCACTTGGTATAAAGGCAGCATTAAATTATTCAAAATCTTGAATAAGTGCACAAAACTGTGGAAAATCTGATTTCTCATAATCATGAGTGAGAAAATTTGTGGTTATACTGGATGATATCTAGCACTGATTTTTCTAACCCTTCATCAATTATTTGTAGAAATTTTGGATAGTCCTATTTGCATGCATTGTGATTTTTATTTTTTATTTTTTAAATCGAACGATTACATCGATATTTACATCCGTTACTAAGAATGTATACCTTGTATAAACTTCTGCGTTGAAATGAAACATGGCAATAATGAAAATTTTGCCCATTTTCTTTCATAACTAATTTATTTTACCAAGAATGTAGCATCTTTCCTCAGCTTTAGAACTCATGTGTTTACTATAGCAAAATTAACAAATGATTGATTACTTCTTATCGATTTACAATTTATTTTTGTATAATTGGACTTGATAAATAATAAGTACCTTCAATACTTGTCTGAAGCTCATCAAATCAAAGTCTAAACACTTCAATCACACTCTATTTTTTCCACATTTGACTAACTCTAATAGCATTAATTTCCAAAACATCTAAGTGCATTCAGCTGTGCAAGTGGAGTCTTCACTTTCTGGATGCCAGGAGCAAAATTGCTCACCGAGTTGCTCCGTTGGGCTTTTTTTTTTTAGATGATGCTCAGTGTCAATTTTTTTTTCCATTGGGTAATTGATATTTTTTTTGTGTCAATTTTTTTCTTTTTTTTTCACTAGGCAGAGCTTTCACACTAAACTGGTTTTCTATTGTAGTTAAACTCGTTCAACATTATTTTCACTAAAAAGATGTTTTAATTATTTCTACTGTTCATCCACATAAATGAATTAATGCGACTGCTTTATTGCTTTCCATTATTAACTTAAACAAGTAATTTACTGCAGTTCATTCCCTATTATTTGTTTCTATTATCTATTATCCCTACTACAATAAAATAAAAGAGGCAATATTTCAATTACTGTTCATTCAGGTCGTATTTTGAGTTTTTACGTCCAAAAAAATAAAAGTTTACGCTATACCACATAATATTTTTTTAAGAAAATGATGTAAATTTTATATTGAGAAAATTGTCGCGAAAAAATAATAAATATTAATAAAATAATTGATTTTTTAAAGAAAAAAGACGAATTTTACGCATTTTTTAACACACATATTTGATGTACGTTTAACTATTTTCAATATTCATTTAGATCGTTCGATGTGTTTATGACATAGTTTTGGAAATGAGCTTCAAAATGATATAGAAGATTTATGGTAGATATTTATAAAAAAAACTAAATAAATCACCCAATGAAAGAAAAACAAAATTGACAAAAAAAAAATTAACTAAAAATTCCTACTTGGAGCAAAATTGCTCGGAGCATTTGCTCCGTCATGCGAGGAGCAACTTTGGTC